CCCCCCCTGACATAACAGCTGGCTGTCCTGACCTATAACAAGCAATCAAACTGCAGGAAAGTTGTTACATTCAGTTGAATTAAGTGTGACGTCATGACCAATCCGATTGCATTAAACGTTTTTGGTGCTTCCTCAAGTATGAATTCGTAAGACATACACAACAAAGACAGTTATGTTCGTTGTCTTTTTTAATATTTGAATTGTCAATTGCTTTGTGTCGATGCTTTAAGAAATCCAATATGTAATCTGATTACATAAATCAATTCAACAAGCGGAGACGACGACATCGGGACTTTGGCTTGGGGAGAGGTAGATATATCAGTGGTTTCTGTGCTGACTCCCATACTCCCTGAAAGAAAGAACTGAATTTGTTAAAGCAATGTTGTAGTCCGGTTAACTCAAAATGCAACATGAATTAAGGAATTTGTTTTGTATTTCTTATAAGTCTTGATATTTTAAAGAACTATAGAGGATTTGGTCAAACACGTTTAATTTGGTCTTCCTAGCATATTTTTCTTCTAGTGAAATCAATATGTTCCAGTTCTTACAGTAAATCAGAATATTTCCGCGGGGATGATATTTTCGCGATTTTATGGGTCAATAACGTGATTGCAAATATATGATCCGCAGAATAATGTAACAAGCGTAAAAATGAGCCGCGTTATTAAACTTCATGACCTTAATGTCGTCATAAAACACCGGAATGTGGCTGTGAAGAGTCATCTACATAAAGAGTAATGATGTTTAAAAATAGGTTTTATCACTCATCTAATAGTTTTGTTGATGATTTGTTTGTCAAAATACACCTGCATATTGTTGATTGATATGCTGTCAAAATCCCTTTAATTTGACTACTAAAGTATTTGATACTTTATATGCTGCGTGTCCCCTCTCTGTACTACAGCACCGCGAACATTTTGTTCTTTCATGTATCTAGATTGCTAAATTATAATCCGTGTTAATTTAGTGTTATGATTTTGGTTTCAAATCGCGAACATTTAAGCCCGCGTAAATAACCCGTTTTGCGGTATTCAATATCAACGGCAGAAGATGCAGTAAAAAACCCATTAAGTGTCACTACACCGGAACTCGACAACCCAAGATATGAAAGAGTAAGCATTTCCTGTACCACAAATGGTGCTTCTCGACACCGACTGGGTTGTATATCTGATATTAGAACCGCTTATTCTGTGACTGGTGAGGACGACTTACCGGAAAGCGTGTGCCGTCCGACTTGTTACACTGCATGGAGAGTGGTGCCATGTCATACAGAGACAGCAGTAGTTTAGTTGTGGTGGTCGACCAGCGGATAGAGCTGTAATTATCTCTGTCACCCTTCGTCTGCGACGTGTCCGCCTTGTCCCACCTGGCCAGGGATAAATCGGTAAAGAGGCTATCATATGTAATGACTTATCACACAAAGAAAATCATGTCAGTACCAAAACGAGCAAACACGACAGGGAGATGAAGTTTGGATGTTGTCACACTGGCACATTGCAATAACATAGCGGCATGGAAGCGTCATCAAGGGAAATACTTACAAAGTGTAAGGCGATCAAACTTTCACGTAGAGATCATTGCGTATGCTGGCCACTAATGCACACAGACACTTTCGAAAGCCAGAGGAAAGAATATATCTAGTGTTGCACTGGTGAATCACATGACTTACGGTCGAGCATGTATTTAGCAGCTAGTTTAATTGTGCATGTGAGAAAGTGCAGGAGACTCACACATTGAGGAAGCTGAAGAACTTATGGAGACTGGATGTTTGTATGGATGACTTGCAGACCTCGAGGTTGGTCCGGGGGTAGTAATGTACGTAGTTTACACACATCTCGTCCTTTATGGAGAAACCTCCCTACCAACACACAGCAACGGTGTTAACAGTTACACACAGGAAATTTATACACTAAGAAAACAACACCACACACAATATTAATACTATATTCAGCAGATGATACTAAATATCGGCACATCATACCTGGAATTATACCAGGATTCAACTGATTATACCAGGATTCAACTGATTATACCAGGATTCAACTGATTATACCAAGGTAAAGTTATATCAAATTTCGATAGCTTCATGATCCGCCTGTCGTATTGTCATTTTTAAAAAGGTAAACATTTGCAGAAATATTTTCAAATACATATCTGGGATAAATTAACAGCTGGACTCAGAATACCGCCTGTCGTATTTTCAGTGACTGAAAAAACTTGTATCTGTGTACGATAATGTCAGACATAATCAGTTATATTTTTAGTTAGTAATAAGAGGTATACCTATCAATAAGTAGTAATAAGAGGTAACCTATCAATAAGTTGTAATAAGAGGTATACCTACCAATAAGTAGTAATAAGAGGTAAACCTACCAATAAGTAGTAATAAGAGGTATATCTACCAATAAGTAGTAATAAGAGGTATACCGACCAATAAGTTGTAATAAGAGGTATACCTACCAATAAGTAGTAATAAGAGGTAAACCTACCAATAAGTAGTAATAAGAGGTATACCGACCAATAAGTAGTAATAAGAGGTATACCTACCAATAAGTAGTAATAAGAGGTAACCTACCAATAAGTAGTAATAAGAGGTTTATCTACCAATAAGTAGTAATAAGAGGTATACCGACCAATAAGTAGTAATAAGAGGTATTCCTATCAATAAGTAGTAATAAGAGGTATATCTACCAATAAGTAGTAATAAGAGGTA